TCGATCAGAAGTTCTCTTTCAAGAATGATTTCATCACCTTCTCCAGATTAGCAAAACCACTCGCAGCTCCTTCAATAGCACAGCGCTTCTCTCTTGTCCTCAGGCACAAAGCAGAGAGGTGTGTTGATTTTTTCTCCTTTCTCCAGGCAGTTAATGATAGCCTGTATTGAAAACTGTAGTGCGATGTCTTACATAGGGAATCAGCTTCTTCCTAAAGATAACTATCAAGGATAATCGAGGCAGCTTAACATGAGCGACGTTTCTAGATCCTGCTCAGACTCAGCCCCGCGCGTCAGCGAGCGTACAGCACTGTCCGGTGGGGACGGCGGGCGGCAGTCGCGGCGCGTACCGCAGGCCTTCCCATCCAGGGCTCCGCTGGCTGGATACTTGAGAACGAAGCTCTCTGGCATTCAGGTTTAAATTGAAAGGAAACGAGAAGCCAGATAAAGCAAGCCAACGAAATTAATTTGCTCTGTACTCCTCTGCGTTTTCCATGAAATTCAGAGAAATCCTCTCCCAGAGAAAGAAGCGAAGCCTTCATGGAACAATTGATTTAATGTTTACAAAGGGTACATTTATGTGTTTCTTGCACAAGCAGAAAAAGACAATATTCATTGCTGTTCTCCATCAGATCCCCACAAGTTCTCATGTACCTCAGAAAATTTTCCATAAACACTCTTCATTCTTTACATGATTCCAAGAAAAGATCTACCCCAAAGCCCTCCCTGAGAGAAGATAAACAGGCACCGCATACCCGAGCCGCGTCCTCACTCTTCCTCCTCGGGCCCGGCCTCCCTGGGCCTGTGGCACAAGCATGCCTCAGAGGGCGGCGGCGCAGTGCCGAGGGCAGCTCAGGCGTGCCTTGCCGGCGGGCCGCCACCACCCTTGGTGACGAAGAGCTTGATAGAGCTGGTTCCACCAACCCTTTCATTCCCCTCATGAATAGCGCACAGGTGTAGAGCCCGGGCCTGGGCGTCCGGTCCTCCCCCGCCCTTTGGTGGTTGAGATCTCAGGGCAAGTCAAGTCACGCGATCTCTGGAGCTCTCAGGGTCCCGGGCATGTCACGAAGGGACCGAATCCGAATCTCCTCTCGGGCTTCTCTTTTCCTGCAGCAGGGATTACCTGAGGGAGTAGCTCCTTGAGCAGCACTGACCCGCACTTGGCTCACAGGTGAGCTCGTCTCCAGCGCACCCCCCGGCGCGTGTGCCTCTCCCGTTTGAGCCCCCCCTCACCTGTGCTCCTGGCTCACCGTCAAATCAGCGACATGCATTCGAGTCCTTCTGCTTAGGAGAACCCATTAAGACATGTTCTGCTTACCGCGTCGTGCAAATTATTTTTTTTGCCCTGAGAGGTCTATTCGCGCAAATCTTTTATGTTCTCTCATCTGTTGAGAAGCTTCAGTCATCTAGATGTTGCGAAATCAAGCTGGTCACTGTATGATTAGTATTGTCATGTGTTAATCACATACTTCCTGCGTGTACATATGTGCATGCAGGTACGTGTGTGCGTTCCTTCTTCTGCCCATCAGCCCACCTGTCTGTACAGAAGCCACCCTTGATCTTTACGGACAGCAGGAGCTGTGACTTCCTCTTCTTTATGTGGCTAGAGTCTACCACAGTGCTAACTGTAGGCGCTCAACGAGAGCTTCTTGATGACCATCTTTTAAGTATCACACACTGCATGCATCATTATGCACAAAATCAACATCTAAAATTGATGTTAGATAATTTGTCGATTAAGGAGTGATTAAATTGAACAAATACTTGCATACCTCCTTCATGCAAAAAAGCATGGTGAATTAATGGAAATTAATATAATGTCACCACATATAGTTAGGTGAAAAAACAAATTTACCAAAGTAAATATTATTTTAGAAAAGGGAAAGAGCTAGGTGGGATGAAAGACATAATTGGAAATTGTTTCCAGAAGTAGTAATTATTTGAGATGGGTCTTGAGGAATTGGTGGGATTTAAATAGAGCAGGAGGAGGGTGTTGTGGTGTTGGACCCAGAGTGAGAAATCAGCAGTAATGAATATCAAGAGACGAGAACCGATGCGGAGAGTGGAGATAAAGGGCCCAAATGAGCAAGTAAGTGAGGGGTGTATGCGTGAGGAAGACAGTGGCCTGACTGCGGGCGAGCCTCCTGTGCAGTAGCCATGGTACACGAGCACGGGAGGACTTGGAAACTCAGGAAGTTGGACTTGGTCTCCAAAACCAGAGGGGGTTTGAAGAATTTTTGGATATGACTATAACTGAAGTAGTAATTGAGTTGATGAGGAGTTATTTGGCACATTGTCCAGAAAGAGCAGGGTGGGGCAAGGCTGAGGGCAGGCGACCAGGATAATCTCCCTTCTAGAACCTTCCTATCTCTTAAGCATTCTGTTCCGGTAAATGTTTTCCTGTTTTCGATCATGCTATATTTAGGGGCATTGATTAATTTAGGAACCTTATTTATGATTTGGATTTTTTCTTCTGAAAAATGAAATTGTATTTTATTCATCAAGAAGTTTACCAGTTTACCAACACTGATGTCAGCCAATGAAAAATAAAATTAAAGCCGAAGCAATAAGAAGACTGAGCCAGCTCGGCCTGGTGTCGGGGCACGCGGACAGAGGCTGCTGTCTGCGTGTGTCTTGGCTCTGAAGGTCTGTTTCGATCGCTCTTTCGCATTTAAACTTCTAAACATTAAAGTGGTGAGTCTGCTCTGCCTTTACACATTTCTATTTTGAGACTTAGATGGTTATTTTGAATATTTTCATCAGAAAGTCATTGTTTTGGGTTACCTCATTGTACATCTGGCTAAATTTTAGGGTGATATTACTATAGAAAACCACTTTTTCTTTTAAAGCCAGCCCTTGAAAGTTGACTAGAGAGCTGAGTATCTGGTGAGAGCGAGGGAGGAGAAGAAAGGACAGCAGCGAACTACAGGTGATTCGGTGGTGGGCTCGCTATCGCAACGACACCAAAATACCAACAACGCTGTAAGCCAGTGGGGGAAAGTCATCATGAAAGTTCCTGTCTTCTAACTAAATAAATAAACAGACAAATCAATAAATGAAAGTCAACGGGAAAATATGTAACAAAATTTTCCTTTACTGAAGGCTTTCATGTAAACACAGAGACAGCACGCCGTGTGGGATACTGTGCCTGCCTCTGGATTCATTATTATATATATGTACTTTTTTTTTTTTAAGATTTATTTATTTGTGCATACAGAACTGGGGTACAGGCCAGAGGCTCAGGGGTGGCGAGAGGCTTCACCAGAGACAGAACAGGGAGTAGAACAGGCAGATGGACGAAGTACACTGCTGAGGGGAGCAGCGGGCGGGTCAGGAGAGGTCTGCTGTGCCATGTGGTCACCTCCGGGGCAGGTGGGGATCGAACTCATGTGGAAGTGGCTTTAGCTTCTCAGTGTTGTGCTTTAACCCGCTGCGCCACCAGGGAGGGCCCATTATTAGAATATATTTTTAACAGAACCTTTTACCAACTAGATGCAACTTGATAATACACCAACTAGAAATATTTTAGGAGTGATTTTCACCTACCAGTTTTGTTTCCTTTGGTCACTATGAAGTAATTAAACTGTATTCAACTTAGAAAGCAAAAGCATTACGTTTCCTTAATTCTTGCTCTTCAGTTTCTCCTTTCACTCAGTCACTCAACAAGCATTGGGGGCAGACATGCAGTGGGGGGAGGGGTCACTCACAGGGCTCCAGGCAGTGGGCAGCGTCTGAGTCACAGACATGGGCTCAGGGGAACAGAGGAAGGGCTGGCGAGTGTGATGGGGTAAGTGGCCCTTGCCTGGACTTTTACAGGCTGTTTCTTTGGGGTGAGTGGGTTGGACAAAGGGAATTCCTGGTGGAGTTAGTGAGAGAAGGTTCTTGAATTGTCTGCAGTACACTACTTTGGCAGTCCTTTAGTCCAGGCTCACCTCCAACCGCGAGGTGGAAAGGAGGTTTTTAGAGTCCAAGGAAATTTGGTTTTCTCTAATAACAGAATTTGAACGTGATGTCGTGGCCTGTCCACATATGTCATGAAGTTTGTCACACGTACCTCGTGATTAACACCTGACAGCGGATCCCACAGTGCCTTAGCAGCTTCTCTCTGGAGAGTTTCAAAATGATATGGTCAGCCTCAGGCCTGGCTCACCTACACACGTCTGATCTCACGCATTCTTTGTCTGCAGAATAATTGTCTCTCTTTCATCTCCAGCTTCTGATGAGACTTTTGAGAGCAAGGTCTCACTGTAGGTGCTGGTCACTAGTTGAGCAGGCCTGTCCCCCAGATTCCTACACCAGGCCCAATCAGCTCCCAACACCCCATCATCCTCTTGTTTGTAATAAATAAGCTCTGGCTGTTGTATTTCAGATACTTTGGTGATGTTAAAGAATAAAATGGGTAAGATACCTAAGCTGATGAAGCTTACATTTCAGTAATCATCATAGTGTCTCTGGAAGATTCTTTTCTTCCGTGTAGACAAAGGGTTTCTTCAGATTAGGTTGCTATCTTAATGTCATGATTTTCTTTGGCTTTCTATGGGCTTTGCAGAGATTTGGGGGCAAAAAGACTTTATTCCGGGGAGAGGACTGCAGTGTAATCGGGGGTTCTGCCAGGATAGACCAGCATGATGAGATACATTTTTCCTAGTATATCTCATAAAAGATGGAAGTTTGAAGGTTCCCAAAATATAATGGTTTCAGAGACAGATTAGTGGGTGAAGGGAGAAATATTTAAAGACAAGTTATTTGCAGCATTCCTTCACTGTGCTTCTGTGAGGAGAGAGAGAGACAGTCACCAAATGACTAATGCGTCAATTATAGCTAGGTCTACTTTAAATAGGCAGAATAGAAGCATAGTAAGAAAGCAGAAACAACTAAATAGGAGAGTTCTGTTATGACATTTAAAAGAATCTGATTTATTAAAGTTGCAACAGATCTGAAATAGAGTATTTTCGGCTTTTTTTTTTTTTTTTATTACAGTGCTTATTTGTTATTTTATAGCTCCTGTGCCTACTGCCTCAGAAAAAAGCCTATCTCTGCAGACAAAAGTGAGTTCGGACAAGAAATCAGACATTCCTATTGCAAATTCTATAACAGAAGCTCCTTTGCAAACACCTCTAGGAAAGGAGTCAGCTGCAAAGTGCTTTGGAAACTTGCCAGTGTTGCCCACCTTGCCAGCTTTGCCAACATTGTGGTCATCCAGTAGAGAAGAACATGTCAGTCCTAACTTAAGGACATCAAGGTCAGAGTCCTCTTTCTATAACCAAAGCTCTGTGGAGACGCTGTATGTCTCACCCTCATTCAAAGTAGTTGGTCCGATGAATGATCTGGTAATCAATAAGGGTGACCGGAAGCCAGCAGAGCCCAGCGTCGTTCAGCTGGATGATGAAAACCTCAAAGCCATAGCCACACGGGGTAAGTCTACCAGACACACACACAGGCTCTCTGGAAGCTTCTTCTCAGCCTTTGATCTGTTTTATTTTTTTTTGTCTTCTATTGTGTTCCCTCCTTTCCCTTCCCACCAAGTGCTCCTTCCTTAGCTGGGCCTCTGTCCTGGAGGGCTCCTTTTGTTAAAGGCTGATCAGTAGCTTATCATGGCAGGTTACAAGTGCTTGATTGAAACCCAAGTTCTGAACAAATTTGATGTGGAATAAATTGGAAAGAACTCGTGTTAAAATAGAGCTTTCTGCTACACAGTTGGGCTGCTTACTAGTAGGTTACATAAAAAAGAATCACTGGTATTGATGTATGCACATGGATGTGTGAGTGTGTGTTTGTGCACACGCGCGCACGTGTATTTGTGGCCATTTTTATAAGGACCGTGGACTGATTGCAAAAAAAGAGGTAAGGGTTCTCCTTCCTTCTCTATCCTTACAAAAATCAATAGGGCTGCAATATTATTTATACTGGATGATAAAAGATAAAGCCAGTTGAGATTCCAGATTGTTGGCTATCTGCTATGAAATCCTTAAATCATGCTCTCTTCTTTACAGTTAATTAGAAAAAGAATGATTTGTTCATTTGTTTTCCAAGGCTAGCTTCCTTTATAGGCTCTTACATAATAGTGCCTATTAACGCCTATAAATAGAAAGCATGTAATATAAATCTTTGAAACTGCCCCAAAGTCAGATCAAAAGTACCGGAAGTATCATCTAAACACACCCGGGCGGAAGCAAGCGTGTGAGGTGAAAGAAGCTTACCTCAGTGCTGGTAAAGCCCACAGAATACAAAAGGCTCCTTCCGAGCCTGTCCAGAATGTTCTGGTGTTGAATAGCGTAAAAGTAAAACTGACTCTTGGCTTTGTCACCAAATTAACTTTTCTGCGGAAACTGCCGATGTGAAACCAATTAGTGCTGGCCCTGGCATCTGGAGTGGCCTGTGTGTTTGGCTCTCCCCAGGGAAACTGTGGTCTTTCCACAACTGCCACAACATGATCATTGAAAGTAGTGTTTAACCTCTGCCTGCTAGAGCCCAGCACTTGCAGAGATTAACAAGGAGGCTTTGCTTCTAATTATAATGAAGTGGGTAGGATTGGTCTAACCCTCCCCCAGAAATAACTACTAGAGCTGGACAAGTATTAAAAGCACATTCAAAGCCATTGTGAAACAATTGAGGCAGAAACCACATCAGGTCCTGATCCTCGGGAAAAGAGCTGTGGCGTGAGATACAGTAAGAAATAGATATTTGGGATCCTCCCAGGTGCCCAACTCTGATTTCCTAACACCCTCGGGATTAGCTGAGCAAGAGCAGTGGGAAGACTGATCTTTTGTTATTCATAATAAACCCCTCTCAGCCACACCCCAGTTTATGCTAATGTGACTCCTGGAGATGGGAGATCTGGTTGCCAAAGTAACCAGTCACGTGGTTAGGGGGTTGAACTAGCAGCCTCACCCTAGAGCTCAGGGGAGGAGAGAGGCCTGGAGGTTGAACTGATCAGGGGTGGCCAAGGACCTGAGTAATCTTGCCTATGTAATGGAATCTTCCATACAAAACCCTAAGGAGCGTGGTTCACAGAGAGCTCCCGGGTTGAGGGGTCCGTGATGGCTGTGGGCGACGCGCGCCCAGAGAAAGCAGGGATGCTCCCTGCCCTGCCCTGTGCAACTCTCCCGCTGGCAGTTCTGGCCGTGGCCTGTATACCACACCAGTACACGGAAGTGACGGAGTTTTCTGAGCCGATGCGCCATGCTGGGACACGTCCCACCCAAGGAAGGGCCTGTGAGAACTACAGGAAGCCTAGGCTTGCAGACGGCCCCTGAAATAAGGGCGGTCTTGTGGAACTTAGCACTTCGTCTCTGCCTCCACCACATCTGGGCTGTCGGTTCAGAATCAAATCAAAGTGTGGGACATCCAGTTGGTATCCAGAGAGCCGGAGAAGCCCTGGGGATGAAGAACCTACCCATGTAGAGCAGAAGTGATGTGAGGGGACACCAGCTGGTTTTCCGTGGCTGCCACACCTTGGAGCATTCGCCTGTCAGAGCTTGTGGCTTCCAAGGTGACAGAAAAGGTTTGTTGACTGCTGACTTGGGAATTAGTCGCAGCAAGGAGAAAACAGCGCAGTGAAGGGGCAGCCAGACAATGATGGTGAAAGGGCTCTAGACTGGGTCAGAAAGAGTCAGAGCCAGGAGGGCGATGCCAGAGTGAGAGAAGAGAACAAGGGTCATAGAGGCCAGAGCACAGAGGTGTCCCGAGGAGTGGGAGGACATGAAGCAATCAAGAAGGAAGTCATTCCTTCCAAACAAGATTTCCCAATCACACTGTTTCAAGTGATGGCGGCTTCTAGGGCGTACCGGGTTGGATGCTGAAGGCCATGTGGCTGAGGAATCCAGGAAATGACGGCGCTCGGCTGGATGGGCTGGCCCCAAGGGTACTGGCACCCTGGGGTGGTGGAGGATAGGAAAGATCGTGTCCATCTTGCAGTCTTGTTCTAAGAGGTATTTGCTTATATAAAGAGTCCAGGACTATATTACACACTCTTGGGGGATGACTTACTGGCAAGTTAAGAATACTTGCACGCTCATGTTTTAGTGGCTCTGAAGCGTTAGGAGGCTGTCGAAGGCGGCCACCTAGTACCCCCCAGTCTTTGTACTGAATGAGGTGGACATTTGCTGCAGTAGCCTCTCTTGACCCTTGGACACTAAATAATTGTGAGAGGGCCCATTCTTTCTCCTCCTTTTAATCATAAGTCATTTATCAGTAGCTGAAACTGTTCTCTTAGGTCACTGGCTATTTCCCATGCACACTATAAGAGAGTGTCAGTGGACGTTCGGGAGCCAGACCTGGCGGCAGCAGCCTTCATAAGCCACAGTTGTGTGTGCGGCAGCACCCAACTCGACCTTCTCCTTTGGGGAAGAAAAAACCCCTCTTCTGTGCTTTGCCACGTTGGAGTAGCAGAGAGCACGCCCTCCGGCGTCTTCCCTTGCCTCTGTCCTGTTTTGTTGCTCTGAACCTCAGGATAGCTGTTCCAGACAGTGTTTAGTCTGTGGGGCTCTTGGCTCAGAAAGAAAACACAAACACACACACACACACACACACACACACACACGATTCATTAAACCTGCCCCTTCCTTTTTAATCTCTAAGAGGCTTTAGAGCCAGAACAATTAGCAGTCTCCCTAGAAGAAATGGGAAAGATGATAGAAAACATCCTGTAAGTGTCTCTGCTCCCCCTGAGTTCCTGAGCGGGCTGGGTGGGGGTGAGGTGCAGAGACAGCTTTGAAGAAGCCTGATCACGCCAGTGGGGGCAGCAGGGCAGCCACGATCTGCACCCCAGACCTGGCCCAGCAGTTCCTCCGGCTCCATGGCTCTGCCTACTTTTGTGCAGACACACACACTGATTGGATTTTTTAAATTTAGTGAACCAGATTTGTGTTTCATAGGTAAGTAGGAAAACCTCACCTTCAATAACCCAATTTTCCCAGTAAAATTTAGAGGCAGACTTAGCATTTTTCTCTAGCTCTGCTATCCCCTAGGTCTTTTTCTTTTATTTAGCATGTTTGTAATAATGACACTAAAAATAAAATTTCAAATGTTACATAAAAAATAGGTCTAATTCACGTACTATAAAATGCTCCATTTAAAAGTGTAATATTTAGGGTTTTTTAAAACTATATTTTCAGAACTCTACAACCATCACCACTGATTCTAGAACATTTTCATCGCCCCCAAAAGTCCTGTGCCCTTTCACAGTTATTTCTCTCAGCTCCAGACAACCACTAATCCACTGTCTTTCCGAATCTGCCTGTCCTGGACATCTCATGACGGAATCCTGCGAACAGCGCTCATTGTGCCTGCCTTCTTCCACTGAGCAAATGCTTTGGAGGTGCTCCCATGTAACAGGTGTCCGTGATTCACTCCTCGTAACAGCTGTCAGTAATTCACTCCTCTGTAACAGGTGTCAGTAATTCACTCCTCCGTAACAGGTGTCAGTAATTCACTCCTCTTCGAGGCTGAATAGTTTTCCGTTGGCTGGATAAACATATTTATTTATCCATTCATCAACTGGTAGACATTTGAGTTGTTTCTGCTTTTAGTAACTGACTAATTCTGCTGTAAACATTTTTATAAAATACTACGTTCCTTAACCGCAAAGCAAAATCAGAATATTTTAATTCCCTGCATAGTTAGCAGCCATTTTGAGGCAGCAGGAAGATTGAAAGAGATAAATCGGAGAATGAGAAACAAATCCCTGTTTTATAATAATCCCTGCTTAAAGTGTTTACTTGACCAGGGATCTGCTCTTTACAGAAAAATTTACATTTACAGCTAAGGAGACATTTAAAGTATTTCCAGAAATGTATTTGCCACTTTATTTTTGCAGCACAGACCTCTCTTTTCTAAGTTTAAAGCGGTAATGTAATAATTAAGCAGTCCAGTGTTATTCATGCGTATAAAAAGCGGAAGATAACATGTCAGCATTTGGAGTAATTTTATCTCTGCTAGCCCTCAGGCAGTCGCCACATTAATCGGCAGGCATGTATCACCCCGTAAGATGTCAAAGTACAGCTACTCACTGCAGCTTATTCGCAGCGTTGGCTGCGTTGCTGCTCTGTACGAAGAGGATGAATGTTGATGTGATACCCGAATAACTTCTGTCGTGAGCCAGGGTGACCGAACGGGCCGGGAGGTGGCCCTGAAGTGCAGCTCCGAGCGTCTGGTACAGCTGTGGCATGTTTGGAAACAAAAGTAAATTGGTGCACAGCAATTAGTGATGAAGTGGCTTTTTATGAGTAAAAGCATCATGTTGCCTGTGAACCAAAGCTGCAAACTGTCAACAGTGAACCACTGTTAGTCAGTGGTGGGCCGCACAGCCAGAGGACGGCTGGCATAAACGGGCATAAACAGCAGTTTTCAAACTTCAGCACACATCAGAAACACCTGGCGCTTTGTTCAGACTCAGTTTTCTGAGTCCAGCCCCCCAGTTTCTGAACCACTTGTCCTAGGGAGCAAGCAGGGTGGTGTGAGTCCAACAAGTAGATTTCCAGCAAATTCTCGGGTGGTGCTGCTGCTGCGGGCGCAGGGGCCACCCTTGGAGAACCACACAGGTGTTTACACTCCCTTCCAGATGGGGCTGACCCACCTGTGTTGTCCTTAAAGCGTTAAGCTGGCACTCCAGAGAGCCGATCCACACAGTATTTGCCTTCTAGCCGACTGACATGTTTCTTATTAACCATTCTTTCTGACCAGAATAGTCTCCTACTGTGCTAACAAATATGTCTTGGCTCCTGGAATCTTTGCATCTCATCAGGGACACACAGGTCACCTGTGCTCTGGGCTCAGGTGGGTTTCAGGCCCAGAGCCTGAAGGGCTCTGGAGTGGCCCCACAGGCGTGCAAGGGGCCCCATGAACTGCCAGAACTCTCTGCTTCCCAAAGCAGCTTTCTGGAATGTCTGAATCCATTTCATGGGTGGAGAAGCATGACTGTTAGAAAGTTTTCTTTCTTTAATTGCACTAAATGCCGTTTTTGCCTGTAATTTTCATCTGTTGACTCCACTTCTAGCTGACACATGTTGTGAGGAAGGGAAGATGGAGACCACTGTTTGCAACTCTCTTCACTGTCACAAAGGGCCTCTCACCTTTTTCCCTACCAGCCCTCTGGGTAGAGACGGGCATACTCATCAGCCTGTCCTTATAGGCAAGATGCCAAATGTCCACACCATCCTGCGAGCCTGCCTTTTCAACTCTACACCTAGGATCTCACCCAGTCTCTCAGAGAAAGAAAACAATTTTCATGTAGCAGAATGTGTGGACTTATCACAACAGTGGTTTAGAGTCTATGTCTGGCATAAGAATCTTGAATTTTTGTGCCCTTTTCTGTGCCCTTTTTAGCCTTTAGATGTTGGGGAAAGTTTTTAGGTGCCATGAGATTCCTTGCCTCCCAAAAGTAGGTTAGAAACCTATTTCATGTGTTACTGTTGGGGTGGAGGGTGCTAAATAAAGAGAACCAAGGGGGTAGTTGCTTGAACAGCAGTTAAATCCTTAGACTTCTCCTTGTTGCCAAACATACGAACAGTGCCCTGAGTTCCCACCAGCTCTCACAACCTCTGCAGACAGCTGGAGAGTTGTTTTCTGGAGACGGTACATGGAGATATTAGGGAGAACAGGATGCAGCAATGGCCACTAAAGGCTAAGTGACCAACGCCAGATGCTTCAGACCGAGGACCTCAGCCCCTTTCCCTACAGACTTCCCGCACACTGGGAGACTGGTCTTTACCTCCTAGGCAGGAGTGAGGGAAACTAGTCTCACAAGACTCTAACCCCCTGAGAGGGAAAAGCTGAAGTTATTAACCCGAGTGGTTCCCCAACAAATGACTGACGCACTGAGGCCCAAAGCGGACAAACCCACCACTGTCATAGGCAGACAGCAGGACTACGAAATATCTGGAAGAAACACTTGTAACATGGAACATTGAAATGCAAGATCATATGTTGTATCCACGAAACAAGAACAGGTGATTAACAAGAATACTGGGAACAAAAAATGGCTCTGGAGAATGAAAGTCGTACTAGCAAAAGTTAACAACTCAGCGGTAATCCTAGAGGCTAAAGTTGACAAAAAGTTCCAAGGGGTAGGGCACAAAGATAGCGGAAGTGGGAGAGAGAAAGAGGAAGTCAGAGCTCTGGTCCAGAAGAGTGCCCAGAAAGACGAGAGAGAAAACACAGAGGAGAACAGGACTGACTGAAGCATTCAGGTGAACTTCCTGGCGTTGCAGATGTTCTAAAACGAGTTGCCTAATTAAAACTCAGCTGATCTCAGTGGAAAAATAAGGAAGTCTCAGAACCTGGGGACAACGGTGAAATCCTTTAAGACTTCAAAGATAGGACAGGTTCTGTACAATGACAAAGAATTAGAATGGTTCTCACTCCTGAGCAGCAATCCTGGAGTCAAGGAGAATTTCATCTTCAATCTTACGGAAGAAAAGGATTTCCAACCTAGAATTCTTTATCCAACCAACCTATCACTAAACATAAAAGTAGAATACACCACATTCCAGCTCTCCAAACATTGACTTTTCATGTATCCTTTTTCGAGAAACTGCTGGATACTGTGTTAGTCCAAAATGGGGGGAAAGCCAAGAAAGAACAAGACGGGGGAGACAGGAAGCAGGAGCGCCACCCACTCAAGTGGCAGTGCAGGGACAGCCATCTCAACGCGCAGCAGGTGCCTGGCACAAGCCCAGCCCGGCTCTGGCCAGCAGCCTGCACTGCCACCTCGGCCCAGGTCTGGGTCAGCTAGGCCGGACCTTGGTGTGCCTTGTCTTGTCCTGGACACATGCTGCTGGGTTTCCCGTTGTCCTTTTCATGCCCTGCTGCTGCACGAGCTGAGAACACTCATGTCAGCCCCCAAAAGTTCTGTGATTGGAATTTTTCCTGAGGACTGGACGCAGACCTTCAGCATTTTGAAGCAGAAAATAGAAGCCGCCTGCCGGCTCTGTACTTGGACAGGAAGTCCAAGTTAGTGTGGAAGGAATGTGTAGAACAAAACAGAATGGGAAGGAAACCAAGTCATGGGCACGAACGTGGAAAGCATTAGTCTCCCCGCCTGTGATTTATAGAGATTGTGTTCCAGTTGATGTTTTTATTCTGAGTAGCAGTCCAGAATAGTTGCAGAGACTTTAGAACTGGATTTCACCAGTTGGTACCACCTGATCCATAAATGAATAGAAATAAATGTTCAAGGAGAGAAGAAAAGGTTCTGCGTGCAAGGAAGTGTGGGGGAAACGTGAATAACTTGCCGTGAGTTGTCACGTGCCGGTGTCGTTCTCTCTTCAGGCACAGGCGCACCTGCCTGGCCTGATTTGACTCTCCAGCCCTGTGGTCACAGAACAACACTCTTCACATCTTAAGAAGACGCCAGTGCTCCCCAGAACATGGCTTGGGAAATAATGATTTAAAACAAAGCATGAAAGAAGAGGTTGAGCATGATTTTGCCCAAAAGGCAGCCAAATGGTATCGAGTAATTAATTTTAGGAAAAAATAAAGGTTTTGGTGAAAACTGCTGGATCGAGGATGGGTTGGATTTCAGTCTTGACTCTATTTGACCGTTGAGGGAGGGAGCAAACTTAGTCTCACAACTCTGCGGGATCCTTAGTTCTTCGTTTTGCCATAACAGTCTCTGTAGGAAAATAAAATAGAAAGAATCCAAGTTACAGGTTCCTGCGACTCCTCTTCTTTAAATGTCAAGTTAAAGTGCTGGCAGTCGGCGGAGCAGGGAGTGCTGCCTCGCTCCTGCTCTCACAGAGTAAAAATATGCCGGCGAGCTTGGAGAGTGCCGATGAATATTGATCATTCTATTTTAGTTTGATTTCCAGAGTATTGTTGCTGTCGTGCTGCATAAGCAGTATCCACCTTTGCGCTTCTCGGTTGCCTACCTGGGGTTTCCTGAGGCTCCCGGTGAAAATTTAACGTACAAAGTTCCAATGATTTATGCTGTGAGGACTTTCCATTGTGAGGTATTTTTTAGCTGTTGCTCGCATTTGCATGTTGCCTAATCTCTCCCTTATGCCTTTTAGTTTCAGCTGCCTCTGAGGGGACAGCCTCCTTTTCTACCTTATCTGTGTCATCTCCCGACTCCACCTCTCCGGAGAAGTCTGGTCACCTCTTGCCGCCCATTTTGGCCAGACCTTCCTTCTGGACGCTGCCCAAGTCTTCTAGTGCCTCCTTTAAAGGTAGAGATAAGACAGCCGGGGGGCACAGGTCCTGTGCTCCTGAGGCTCCCGCGTTGTCTGATGAAGAGGAGGACCTCAGCCTCCTGGACATTCTTCCAGATAACTCTGATTCTGCTACAAAGGCCAGGCAGGTGTCTGGCAGCAGTTGGGTAGAGTTTCCCACCGAAAATGTAGATCACTTTACTTCCATGTCCTGTTCTAGTGTTCAGGGAACCCGAGGCCTGCCCCAGGTGCCTGAAGCAAACTACTCCACGAATGTTCTTCTTGGGGAGGTAAAAAACGCCATAGTCAAGTTACACGAAGATCTGAGCATGGTGATAAGAGAACTTAATGTCATCAATAGCCACCTGGTAAGCATGAGCGGGAACAACCCCCAGACAGGCCGAGCGCTGCAGTCTCCCCTGCCTGCTGAGGGGACTCAGGTGGAATGTAACCGTCTCCACAGCCATTTCTGACCAGACTCATGTGACGCCACGTCCCAAAGACAAGGCCGCTCGTCCTTCCCGGTTTCCCGTACTGTGGCACAAGTAGGGTGATGGTTTCATCTTTTCCGTGCCAGGGTTTGCACTGTCTTTCAAACCAGTACGTTCATTTGGGTGGCTTGTTTCCTTTTCATGAGGAAAGATACCATTTTTGACAATATTAGATATAGCTCATTAGAAACTGAAGAGAATTTCCTTCTTCCGTGATCAGTATTTTACCTCAAAACATACTAAACAATAGTGAATGTTGTGCTAAGGCCTCAAACAGCAACTGATTCTTCGAGAACTTTCAGCTAAGTATATGGCAGTGAGACGTCATGTGTCCTCAGCCATCTGATGCTCCCTTGTTAGAGCCTTTGTCTGGCTTAGGAAGGTTGAGGTAACGGTTTCACGTGTTTCAGGGCCAAGTTTCAGGTTCTGTAAGTCAAGGCCAGAAATCTTGTGGGCGCCACAGCTGGCTGGGGGTTGAGAGGGGCCGTGGGGTGGGGGCATGACACGGGACAGGCATTCCAGCCACTGTCACTGTCATTTTCATTGTTAGCATATATCGCCAAATGCACAAGATTGCATATTTTTTCTTGTTTTAGAAAACAAACTTGGTGTACTGTTCATCACATGTGTGTCTTTTTAATTCATTAAGACAGGCTCCACCTGTGTCTCATCTGTTGTTAAATCTCCGTTGGGTTTTTAATTCTCTGTGTTTAAAGATAGTTATTATATTTTGTATTTCTGTAATTACACTTGGTTCTTTAAAAATCTTCAATAGTTTCATTGATTAGTATTTCTTGCAAATCTTTTCCAGCATATCTTTTCAAGAAATAATAATAAGCAAACTAGAATAAACTTGCCACTACTAAGAACAATAAGTAAACCAGAGCATATTCTTCCTAGCTAGCTATTAAGAGCGGTTTAATATATGTATTTATGTTTGTAAATTTTCTTTTATATAGCTGCAACCCAAATTTTTAAAAACTGAGGTATCGTTCGCCTACAATAAATTTATCCCTATAAAGTATACAGTTCAGTGGTTTTGCTGTATTCATAAGGTTGTACAGTAATTGCAACTACCGAATTACAGAACATTTTCACCATCACAAAAAGACACTCCAGACAAGTGAGCAGTCACCCACCCGCCTTTCCTCCAAGCCCCAGCGACCCCTCCCTACTTCCTTTCTCCTCAACTTGGCCTGTTCTGTATATTTCATGTCACTGAGACCGTGCAACACGTGACTCTCGTGTGTAGCTTCTCTCACTTAGTATGTTTCCGAGGCTCATGCGTGTTGGAGCACATCCGTGCTCTATAATGCTGCATTGATGGCCATACCACTTTCTGCTTATCCAGTCATCAGTTGCTGGACATTTGGGCCATTTTCATTTCATTTTGTGACTACGTTGCTGTGAAGGTTGGTGTGAGCATATGTTTTCCATTTACCTTAGGTATACACCTTGGAGCATATGGGGACGCTTCACTTTTGGAGGAATCACGAAACTTTTCTGAAGTGGTGGCACTATTCTACCACCCATTTTGCTGTGTACTATTGTCACTGTGTGTGGGCCCCAGCCAGGTTGTCAGTCCCATCATGACAAAAGTCAGCCCACCCTTCCATATACATTACACTCGTGTTCTGGTAATTCCAGCGTCTAACATTTTTCCAAGTCTGTGTTTGCTTTTCATTGCAGCCTGTGCTCATGATGTTGTGGCTTGTGTACTTGACTGAAAGTGCTCCTATGACACTTGAAGATTTATTTGCACGAGTAATGCAAGAATTTATAGTTTCCTTCTGCAAGTGCCTCGTGCTGGGGCTAGGCTAGGGGGACCAAGGCACAGCTTGGTGTTTTCAAGACAGTTCAGATTAATCCTGAATTTAAGCTCCTCTTAAGGGAAGGCGCATTCCAGCCACTGTCACTGCACGGTTTTGGGTCCACCTTGGCGTAGCCGCGTCTCTTGTTAGACTCCCCACCTGCGAGGGGCTTCTGTTCCTACCACCTTCCAAGACCATCACAGTGAAAGATGGCATCTTTTTAAATCAGCAAATGTCCTTTGAGTAAGGTGGTTTATGTGCTTATTTACGTATCATGTCTCCATCTTTTTTGAGTACCTGTTCCTCACAAGACTCGGGGCCAGACCTGGGGGAAGTAGTGGTGATTAAAAGCATATCTAGTTCGCAACCTACCAGAGCTTGAACTCTAGAATTCTGGAGAAATTTGATAGGTTAATCAAGTTGTTACAAATGTAAAAGCCTAATGGTTCTGGGAAAGAACCATAGAATTGACTGGAGTCAGGGAAATTTTATCTAATTAGGGAACTAACTTTTGAGCTGAAATAGGAGTGCCTGGATGATTGAAATAAATGTCACTTAATGACATGTTGGGCAAAGTAGCCTTCTTTATGAAATGAAATAGAACATGAAATGTGGGTGAAATGTTAACTTCTCTTCAGTTGGCCGTCAGCCTTTACTTGGGAGCCACCAATGGTGGCTAAATACATCTTCATTGCACATTGCTGAGTTGAGCTAGAAAACTCTGGAGAGGCAGCACTGTGCCCTCTCCATCCCTGTCCTCAAAAGTGCTGCCTCAGGTGTCCTGCATCGACTCTGAGAGCCCCACAAATGACTGAAGCAACAAAGTCTACCTCTTGAGAAACTTACCTTCGGAGCACGTAGTAACTTCAGATTTTAACTAGGTTTTACATAGCTCATATATTTTAATTCAACCATTTGTTAATTAGTATAATTAGCAAGCACTCAGTTGAGTTTCTATTTAGCCAACTCCATTAAATGAATAGAACAAACTTGGCTTAAGTTAAGAGTGGGTATATTCTGATTGACTTTGTAATTATCTCAGATTAAAAATACTTCATTAGATGTTATTCTCTTAAGTATTTTATTTGGAACTGGGAGATCCTATTATAAGGCTATTATAAAAATATGTTACCATTTACTTACTGTCAAACCACTCGCGTTCATTCTTTAAATATTAATTGAGCTCCACTAGGAGCGGGTGCCCGGTCAGACCTGGGCACAGGGTGGTAGACAGGGAGATGTGCTTCCAGTTCGTGGCGATGCAGATCGAAAGAGGGTAACGGAGAGCCCTGGGACGTGGGAAGCAGCGTGGCTGCGGAGGGACTGGCAAGGAGCGAGCCAGTGCCGGGACGGGCTGCGGGATTGCTTCCTCAGGGCATCCGGTCCAGCAGGCAGCAGGGGGCGGAGCAGAGAGAGCGAGTCAGCAAGGGAAGGTTCGAGACAGAGAACAGCATGTAGGAGAGAAGCGGGGTGAGTTTGCGACAGGATGGACAAGCCGGCGGGTCAGGAACGTGAGCACTTTCTGCAGAGACACAGCCTGCGGCGGCGAGAGGTGTCTGCAGACTGCGTGACAGGAAAGACTGAATGACGAGTGGAATGGCCTGTTGAAAAGAAAGTGTCATCGAAAGGTGGGGGCGAAAGGATTTCCAAAATCCATGCCTGGACGGATATAAATAGGCTTTAGAAGGGGCTGGGGAGACCGTGGTGACTCACCGCCCTCCCACGAGCTCATGGCGACAGTGGCTGTCTCCTGGGTGGGCGTCGTCTGGGAAAGGGGCTGCGGGGCCGGCGGCGACAGTGCCTAGCACGCGCCTGCCTGTCCACGCTTCACTTTATTTTTAATAGAGCGGAGTCTGAGATGTGACAAAAAGGTTTAGCTCGGGGGAACGGAGAGGCTTTTACTCCTTGCAGAACACCGAGTGATGGGGGTGGGGGGCGGGGGGCAGGCACGTTATTGTCAAGCCAGGATACACGTGCCGGCTTCTGCCAGCAGCCCGGCTCTGGGAAGAAGCAGTTGGCTCAGAGAAACTAGGTTCTCAGATGATTTTGTTCAGTAATTTTGAATTCTGTTTCCCACTGATGGTGAGAAACTTCTCGAAGATATGGTAATTATTGCAGAATGATGGCTTCAGGCATCCGTAGCTACTCAAACAGTAAAACTCCATGATAAAATATCACAATCTGTAGCTCAGTTGTGCTGAACCGGGACAGCTTCCCCGAGAGTGAGCACCACGTCCTCCTCGTCGTAACAGCAGAGTGCAGGTTCTGAGTGACCCACTAATCCCGGGGACTGGGCAGGAGGCAGGAAGGTGAGCTCAAGAATGGTAGGTCTCAGTTGTTAATATCGATGGCTGACATTTATCTGGGTTCTCGTAAAGTCCTAAACTCGCGTTCCATCAAGAACCCCTGCCAGGGTGGTCTTAGCGTGTCACGTTGCGAATGAGGAAACCGGCTTAGAAAAGCCAGGACCTTGGCCAGGGCCACACAGATGGGGGTCAGGGTCAAAGCCAACCCCAACCAGTCTCCACACAGAGCAGGCACTTGTGGCCACTTGGCCTCTTCACTGGGGGTGGAGCAGACAGGGCTGGGCGGGCGGCAGACACCAGCAGATAGCTTCCCCGTCTGGCGTGCTGGAAGGAGGTGACTCCAGGGCTGTCAGGAGACAGGAGGTCAGCATCTGTATCCCTGAGGCTGCGGCCTCACAGAGAGGCAGGCCTGGCGCCTCCCACCTGCCCATCCAAACCACGCTGCCCCTCTGGAGGCCCCGGGGCCCTGGGGATAACGGGCCAGAGAGGACAGACCGGAGAGGGCCTTTATGCTCCATTCCTGGGGAAGGGGGGCAGGAGGAACGGCCACGACAGGAAGCCCTGCCCGAGGTCAGACAGCACCTGCTCACTCCCGGGCAGCCCCCAGGGCCAACGGTGGCGCTGCACCTGCAGGGAGGGGCAGAGGCCCCTGAGCCCCTCCGCCCAGAGCCGGCTGGGGGCCGGTGGCCATGCTTCCTGCTCTCACCCCGGGGCTTCCTGGCTCACCTGTTCCATGCCCTCCCGAGGCTGTGTGTCCTGGGGCTGGGGGGCACATGGCAGCTGGCAAACACAGGACGTCTCTGTCAGCTGGGGGCTCCCTGGACTTAGGTGGGTGGGGTCGGACCTCAGAGAGGCTGTGTGCCTG